GTAAGTGGATCAATGCAATGATTTTCTGTGAACTAAACTATCGACTGAAAATAATTTTTTTTGGAGAAATTCAGAGCAAAATAAGTTATTAAAAAATTTTTAAGAAATCCATTAACATTGTTATCTTGGAAAAAGATTGAAAATGTCAAAGCAAAAGTACGCCAGATTGCATTATGTTTATAAACGTATAGTAAAACTGTTTTATTTATTAAAAAATATTAAGTAGCAAGATTGCGTCAGATTACATTTGTATGTAGAAATGTGTATAGTTCGAAAATGCCAGTCGGAAAAAATGATCACTGTCATCGTGACACATGCAATTACATATTACATTGAAGTGAGCTATTGCGTGTATAAATCTTTTTCGTTTTTGAAGTAAAAGAAAATGATTTTTCATTGATGTAATTACATTGATGGATAAACTCTCAATGGACGTTTGGCCGTTCGAACCGCAGAACATCGTGCGATCTTGAATCAATGGCCTAAACTCTAATTTACATTAATGATGTGACATTTACATCATCGACACTGTTTCATTACTTGTTTACGTCTTATTTGTACAAAATGGTGTAATTTAGCAAGAGTGACATTTGTTAGTTCCTTTTCTGGCAGATAATTCTGTCGTAAAATAATCAAGAAGTCAATCTTTCTCAACAAAAGAGGAATTTCTTGAGATTAAATCTTAAAATGACAAAACGTCAATATAAAATATCGTTATGTATGGATAATCATTTATACGATAGAATAGATTTATACGATAGAATAGACATTGAGGCAAACGCTGTTAAAAGCGATGACGCGTTTCTTCTTTCGTTTCGCTTGTCCAGAAGCTTCATCAAAAATAGTTCTCGCCCTTGAAATATGAAATATTTCACGGTATTCTAGCGAATTTCTCGTTTTATTTATATCTGCCTTTTTATTCAATCTCTCGTGTTTTTTAAATTTTTATCACGTATAATAAGACGGAATCAGGGCTTTATATATTATATATATACAACTCAACTTTAAGCCCGTCATTAAAATATTAGAAGAATAATTTTATTCAAAAGTCTTTGTCAAATTTTCTTTGAAAGTTAATGATCTTTTAATCATCTTTTAGATTTCTCTAGTTCATTTAAAGTTAATCTTTCCTCAGCAAAAATATATATCGCATAAGATAAGTGG